CACATGCCAACCCTCACGCCTCTGACCCACGGTGCGTGATCAGGGCGCATCCAACCTGGACGAGCTGCACGCGCGATTGCGATCGGGAATTATGATCCGGCGCCTGAAGAAGGATGTGCTGAGTCAGCTGCCCCCAAAGCGGTGCGAGCACAACCCTGGCTCAGTTGTCATATCAATCTTGCTCTTATTCTTTCGCCTCGATTGCTGCTGGAATTGACTCGCACGTACGCATGCTTGCTCCCTCGTGAACACCCACCCCACGTGTGCACAAACACACACGCGCACGCACACGCACACACACACACAGACGACAGCGCGTGACTGTGGAGGTGACGAACAAGAAGTTGTGCAAGCTGCTGGAGGCCGGCTTCAACGAATTGAAACGTTTGGATTCAGACCCAAACACACAGCAGTTTGAGAGCCATAGGCTCCTGCAATCGCTCTTTCATGACACATCAACCGCCAAGATGGACTCGGTCAAGGAATACATCAAGGCAAACAGTCATTCGTTTGCGATTGCATGCATTTGCGCGTATGCATGGTACTTATGCACCCTTGAAGGTGGTGTGTGGCAGGACCTTTCTCCTGGCACCACCATCAGTGTCTCGTTTTGTTGTGTTGTGCTCATGTTTGTTCCCGTCTCCTCATTCATATGTTCACGCTTGCAGGGCATGTGCGATGCTGGCGGGAAGTTTCTTGTGTTTGCATATCACCTGAACATGCTCAAGGCGCTTGAGGAAGCAGTGGCGTCACAAGGGGTGGGTTGATACCACAACACTGTTGTTGTTGTTGTTGTTGTTGTTGTTGTTGTTGTTGTTGTTGTTGTTGTTGTTGTTGTTGTTGTTGTTGTTGTTGTTGTTGTTGTTGTTGTTGTTGTTGTTGTTGTTGTTGTCGTTGTTGTTGTTGTTGTTGTTGTTGTTGTTGTTGTTGTTTAAGTTGTTGTTGTTGTTGTTGTTGTTGTTGTTGTTGTTGTTGTTGTTGGCTCGGCCAAAGCGTGCAATCGCACCATGCAAGATCCCACGCGGCTCCGCCAATTGTGGCTTAAGGATGTGTTTATAAACACCGAATCTGCGACAGTAAGTTGAGAGGTGACAAGGACTACTCCCTCCCCTGAGCAATCCCTTCTAGTTAGTCGTACACGAACTCCGGCGGTTGGTAGAAGATAATGTTAAAGTCTTTTCGTATCAGATAACTTGATCGGCATTACTCATATGAAAAGTCAATGTAGCTCGGACTGATACCAGCTCCTCGCCAGAGCAGAAAGCCAGGCTGTAATTTGCACTAGATTATCGTTCGGGGACGCTAAAGTCCTGGCGATGTTGTTTAAGTTGTTGTTGTTGTCGTCACTTCACATCAACCATACACGTGTCTACCGCTCAGTCGTGACGCTGACGACACCCACACTCACGTCCAGCACACATGGACTCACGTGTTTCCTGTCACGAACTCACACAAATGCACACACACACACACACACGTGCTTCCATGCTTGCAGGTGGAGTACATTATGATTGTTGGCGAAACGCCTGTGCACGAGCGACACGATATGGTGAAGAAGTTTCAGGCAAGCAACCGCTGGTGAGGCGACAACTTTGCACGCGAACACTAATGTGCATGCGCTTACGCGTGCTTACAAGTGCATCAGTGTGTGTGTGTGTGTGTGTGTGCATGAGCTTACGCGCGCGTCAGTGAGTGTGTGTGTGTGCGTGAGTGTGTGTGTGTGTGTCTCCAATGTACTCGGACACATGAAGCAACCACCGCAACAAGCATGTGTGCTTCGCAGTCGCCGACGTGTCTGCACTTGTCCATGTCTCGTCAGTCCTCACACCTCATTCCTCATGACTACATTCATTCATTCTCCATTATCACCCTCATCCGTCTGTCACTGTCAACCCCCGCCCCCATTTTCCAGCCGCGTTGCAATCCTGAGTCTGCTGGCTGCATCACAGGGGATCACGCTCACGGCCGCATCCACTGTTGTCTTCGCTGAACTGCACTGGACACCGGGAATCATCGAACAGGCCGAGGTGTGCGCTTTGACTGCTCGTAGGGCTGGTCGGTTCGTTGTTGGTTGCAGCTGCATCTCGTGCGTGCGTGTGTGTGTGTGTGTGTCTGTGTGTGTGTGTGTGTGTGTGTGTGTGTGTGTGTGTGTTTGTGGACAGAATCTTGACGCGGTGCACGTTCTTTGGAGCAACAGCTTATCTTGTCTCCTCTTCCATACATTCCCACTACACACACACACACATACACACACATACACACACATACACACATACACACACATACACACATCCACACACACATACACACATGGCTCAATGACCACGTGCAGGATCGGGCACACCGCATCGGACAAACAGACACATCTGTCAACATTCACTACCTTGTTGCACCAAACACGCTTGATGATATTCTCTGGTCCACACTCTCACGCAAAGTCGGTGTCGTGAGCACAACTCTCAACGGAGAGAGATCTCGCCTCGTTGCAAACAAATCACGCGCGGACAAGAGCTTGGGTGCGTTTGAGGTGGAGGTGGTGGCCGAGATTAATGTTGTCGGTGTAGTGGTGTCGGGACGGTGCTACAGAGCGAGGTCGCATGTCGCTTCTCTCGCGTGCATGATGTACCAACTTGTTTGAATCGCACGTGTGCCCTCCTCACCTTCTCTTCGCACGCACACACACACACTCACACATGTATTCGCGGTTGCAGCGGATGCTGCGCGGAAGCACTCGAGCCAAGAGATGGACACGGATGAGATTGAGGACGACGACGACGACGACGATGAAGACAGTGGTTTTCGTCGCACCAGCAGCACCCGTGGTGATGGTGGCGGTGATGATGATGGTGGTGGTGGTGCTGATGCTTCGCAGGAAGGGAGTGGCCTTGCAGCTGCATGGACCAGTTCATCTGCATATCTGATGGCAAGCGCAGGCACAGCGCCCATCACACAGAAGAACGATTTGCGCCTCTTCTTCAGTCCCACCCGCGCTGCTGCCACGCACGATCCGCCACTATCATCATCATCAACATCACCATCGACCACCTCATCCACGTCTACAACAGCGACGACACCAGCGGCGAACGCTACACCCGGAGCGATGTGGGCGTGCACAGCGTGCACGTATCGCAATGCGCCATCCGCAAAGAAGAGGTGCAGCATGTGCGGCTCAGCTCGTCCACGTCAACGAACCAGAAACAGCAGCCACAGTAGTGATGCGCGCGAGAGCAGTGCAGCACGGTTGTCGCCAGTGTCATCACCACCATCGTCACCCGGTGCGAACGAAGCACAGCGCCCCAGTAATGGCACCAGCGGTGTGAAGAGGAACAAGAATGGCCGTGGCGATGGTCATGATGGCGGTGTTGATGGTGATGATGTGTCACCTTTCTCGCCCGCTGCCTTTGTGCAGCTGCAACGCCGATCCCGAAACACCAACAACGTCAACATCGGCAGTTCTACAGCTACTCACATCACCACCGGCGCCACCGCCAGCAGCAGCACCATTGGCAGCGGCACCAACCGGTCAACTGCGGTTGACGCGGCAAACATGCGCGGCGGGAGCGTGGCCCCGTCACCCAGCAATCCGCCTGGCATGAGCCGGTTCCAGTTTTGCATGAGTGCACACACGGGCCGCGTTTGGTTGTACAATCGCGAAGGGAAACCGCTCCATGTCAACTTTCACCCACAGGACTTTGTTCACGGCAACATGGATGCTCTCCCTGCAATGGTGAAATCACCGCACGCGCAGCCGGAGATTGCGTACTTCTTGCGGGAATACCGGAGCCTCCGTCCGATTCAGCAGAAGACGATTGCAAACATCGTCATGCCAGATGTGAAGACGGGCCTGGAACGGGCACGTGCGATGATGAGTGGCAGTACCACGAGTGGTGGCTCAATCTCCACATTGGTTCGGAGTAAGAGTGCAGGCAGTGGTGGCAGTGGTGGTGCAGTGACACCAGGCGGCAGCACGACCCGGTTCACGTCGCCGACTGCGTTTGGGTCTGCTCCAGAACAAGCACGGCGGAAACGCAGCACGAAGCCAGCAACACCAACGCTGCACCAGTTTTGCACCCCGGTGAAGAGGAGCGACAAGGCGGGCAGAAGGAGCACGGGTGCGCTCACCAGCAGCACCCGCGCACATAGCGCTGCGCAAGAGGTACCAGTTAAGCAGCAATCGAGACACGCATCGGCAGCTGTGGGATTGAATGCAAGCGTGCTGCTGGACGATGAGAGTGACGATGAAGACGATGCAGATGGCGTGGAAGGTCAAGGTGGAACCATTGAGGTCGAAACAGGAGCGGTACCTGTTGTGACTGCTGGAAAAGCAAGAAGAAGAACGCATCGGGCAGCGCGAACACCCACTCGCTCGCAGGCAACAGCACCAGCAACACCAGCAGCAGCTATCGATGCATTTTCACCTGTGATTCTTCTCGGTGATAATGATGACAAGGATGATGGTGGTGTTGATGTTGGTATTGGTGGTGATGGTGATGCTGGTGATGATGACGTGCAGTATTCACGAGAGCGGTCGCCAGATCTTGTCCTGTGTAGTTCAGACGAAGAAGATGCTGATGATGATGACGATAACACAGTCAGGGGCATGCGCAACACGCATCCACGCACCACAGGCCGCACGGCAAACACGCGAACGTCTGCACTTGTATCATCAGCACCAGCTGTTGCACATCAACGAGACGTGCGGTGGCTGAACAGCGATTCTGAAGGCGAGGACGACCAGCATGCCGCTCATGATGACGTTGGTGATATTGGCGATGACGTTGGTGAGGGTGATGAAGGTGATGCTGGTGATGAAGGCAGTGAGCATGCGCAGAACGCAAACCCGAACCAATCCCAGGCACCAGGACCATCAACGACGTCGCCGGTGACACCACGACTGTCGCGGGCTCGTGATGTCGGACTCGGGTGCGCATTCGATGCACTGACGCCTTCAAAGCATGAACAAAGAAGGGCAAAGTCCACAGCAGTTTCAAAGAGAACAACAAAAGCAGCAGCGAGACGCACAGCAAAGCCAGCGAGTGGTGATGGCGATGACCAGCCACGCACCATTGAATGCAGGTGTGTTGCGTGTGTTATGTGTGCACTTGTGGCTGTGTGATGCGCGTGGGGCCGTCGTTGTGCTGACAGTGCGTGTCCACTTGCTTCTGGTGCGAAAAATAGGTTTTGCAAGACACCCATCCCGCAACAACAGGACAGTACGCTCGAGCAGCGATTTTGCTCCCATGAATGCTGGGAACAGTTCAGCGTGCAGGTGAGACAAGAGAGAGAGTGTGTGTTTGTGTGTGTGTGTGTGGGGGGGGGGGGGGAGGTATTTCTGTGTGTGTGTGGGTATTTCTGTGTGTGTGGGTATTTCTGTGTGTGTGTGTGTGTGTTTTGATGGCGCTTGTGGAGGCGCGCGCGCGATGTGAAACTGCTTGTGCCAGGTGTTTGTCTTACAAAACAGTGGCAAGCGCGCACATGTGGACAGGCAATCTCGCACTCACACCTGCCAACATCTTCGAACACACGCACACACATTGACGCGCACGCATACATATGCACGCATACATATGCACGTGTGCACATCCAACCCCTCAATAGACGGGCAGTGGCGGTGCGGTTCGGCGGCGGTTGCTTGAATTGGAAGGCGGCGTCTGCCAGCTCTGCCGCGTCGATGCACACGCACTGTACAAGCACGTGCGCGCTCTCGGTGGGTCACATCACATCACACGTCATGTGTGTGTTGCTGTACGGTGATTGGAATCGTTGCAGTGGTTTCGTGCCGTGTTTGAAGCACTCATCATTTCTTTTGTGCGCTCTCTCCCTTGTTTACACACATTTGTGTGTCTTCAGCGTCTCCACAAGCGCGGAAAGCTGTTCTGTCCTCCACTGCGTTCAACACGCTCAGCACAGCCAAGTAAGGCCACTCATCCAGTGTGTATGGAGAACAGTGGTGCCGCGAGTTTACCTTTCCAAATGGCACACACACACACACACACACACACACACACACACACACACACACACACACACACACAAATAATCGCACACACACACACACATAAATCATCGCACACATATTCACACACGCCAATTCTGGCAGGCAGATCACATTATCCCCGTCTGCGAAGGCGGCGGTGAATGTGACTTGTCAAACTATCGTACTCTCTGCACGCCGTGTCACGACAAGGAAACGAAGAAGCTCGCCAAGAGTACGTGCGTGTGTGCGAGTGAGTGTGTGAGTGTGTGAGTGTGTGAGCGAGTGAGTGTGTGTTGGTTTTCGAGAGTCCGGTTATGACATGCACCTACCCTTATTCATACCCCGCCCTCCCACCTTCGCTTCTGGCTCAGACCGCTCTCAGCGCGCACTGCGCGAAGCGGCCAAAACCTCCAAGGACATTCGCGGTTTCTTCTCTCCACCACCCAAATGACACAACGGCAGCCATGTGTGTGTGTGTGTGTGTGTGTGTGTGTGTGTGTGTGTGTGTGTGTGTGTGTGTGTGTGTGTGTGTGTGTGTGTGTGTGTGTGTGCGTGCGTGCGTGCGTGTGTGTGTGTGCGTGTGCGTGTGTATGTGATATGCAACGTGGTACCGACGCACCACGCCCATCTCACCCCTCTTGTTATGGGCTGCCACGAATAACTGACATGATACGAATATACGAACGACCTGCCATTGAGCGTGTTGGCATAGGTGTGTGTATGGGTGTGTCAAGGGTGCTGTTGAAACGCGCCGTCCGCTTGGAAAAGCGACGGCAGGAGACTGGACAGAGAACGGATAACACGCATGCAAGACGAAAGGGAGACATCGTACGAAAAAGGGAACAAACAAACAAAACACACAGAGGCAGCGCTGGGAAGCGACAGGATGTGATGTGCGAACGCGGAAACACAATCAGAGGTGTCGACCATCACACACACACACACACACACACACACACACACACGTGTGCGTGCGTGAGCAGCAGAAGCAGAGGTTATGAGCGTAGGTGTTGGAGCAGGGGTGGGCTGTGAAAACGAGAACGTTGTGGAAAACACACGAGGAAGTGGAGCATCAGCAAGGCCGACAAACAAAGGCATGTTGTGTTGGTCACAGTGGTGTGCATCGTCATGCCAATGTATCTTCATGTTGTGAGCCAAGTTGACCCTCATGCCTCCAGTTCTTCCTCGTCAAAGTCGCGCATGCCGTCATCATCATCACCATCATCGCCCTGCATGATGACGCGGCTCTGCAGGCGGCGTGGGCCGCGGTCAACACGGAGACTGGTCCGTGACACGACGCCAACACGCCCAGTGCCATCACCACCGCCGTGGCTGCGTGCTGGGTAGATTGGGTTTGGCGAGAACCCATCCGCGCGGGCAGCAGACTTGGCGGAGGATGTGGCTGGTGTTGAAGACGACGCGCTTGTGCTTGAAGGGGCAATGACTTGACCAGTGAGCAGGTTGATGGCTGGCTTCTTGGGCTGGCCGGCACCTGCGTTGCTGTACACGGTGTTGATGTGCGTACGCGCCTCTGTCTCCACCACGTCGTACTCGGGCTCGTACTGATCTTTGCCACTGGCGATGTTGTCGTACACGTTGGGAGCCTGCTTGTCTGGGTGGCGGGTGACGGCATCGTAGGTGGACGACGCGTTGCTGGAGACCGGCACCTCATACAAGCGCTCCTTCCTGTTTGCAGCGTGGTCATAGGCTCTGTCGTGGCTGTCCGGTGCTTCGTAAGCGTCGCCATCAGGCACCTCGTATGCGCTCTCAGACATCCACGCCCCAACACCTGCAGCATTCATTTGCGCGTGGAAGATTTGTGTTGCGCGAGTGAGTAAGTGTGTGTGTGTGTGTGTGTGTGTGTGTGTGTGTGTGTGTGTGTGTGTGTGTGTGTGTGTGTGTGTGTGTGTGTGTGTGTGTGTGTGTGTGTGTGTGTGGTGACAACACGCTGACCACGCTCAGCACAAAGTGCAGCGCTTTGCACACCACCACCACCACCACCACAACCATCCTACCTTCTGGCTCCCATGCGACGCGGGAAGCGCGCCTGTCGGCCTTGAGTCCCGTCTCCTCTTCTGCAGAGTTGATCTGCGCATAGAGCGACTCGTCGCTGCCAACACCCGTGTCGGCGTCGTCCGAAGCTGAAGCGGATGGAGGGAGCAAAGAGTATGGAGGGGGCGGTGTGGAGACGGAAGATGAAGAGAGGATTGAAGAAGGTGGAGAGGGTGAGTGCACAGAGACCGAGAGACGTGCGAGTATGCGTTGTGTTTGTGCTACGCTCGACGCAAGTCGGACGCGTAAACACACACATACACAGGCCAGGCACACAGACAGACAGACACAGACAGACACAGACACACACATACACGCAAACGCGTTTATCACGGCAGGACTCACGCAAGGCAAAGCCGTTGGCGCGGATGCGCGTGATTTCGCCAACAATATCAGCAAAGTCCGGACGCCTGTCCGGATCCTCCTCCCAGCAGCGCAGCATGAGATTGTACATCTCAATCGGAGAGTTCTTAGGCCCGATGCAGCCGCTCACCGCTCTCGAGCACATCCAGCAGGCGCCCATTGGGGGTCTGATGATGGTGATGGTGATGGTGGTGATGGTGGTGATGGAAGTGAGAGGGAAAGAAGGAGGTGAGTGGTTATGGGAGAGGAACAGAGAAGAAGAAAAGGGTATGACAAGCAACGCAGCACGGACGATCTCAACGAAATGAGCACTGATACACACACGCATGTATGCATCTAAGCATGGCTTAGTGCATCATCATCGTATGTTCCTGTTGTGCTAGGCGTACGTGTTGGGTATGGTGTGCCGCCGAGCGAAAACACTTCCCACATGGTCACGCCAAACGCCCACACATCCGCCTTGGTGCTGCAATCGCAGACACAGATCCATAAACATGAGCGAAGATGCAGTGAGACGAGCAGGAAAATGGAGGACACCATGTGCCGTCAAACATGCCAAGTACATACGAACGAACATACGCACGTCACTGCATACACACAGAGACACAGAGACACACAGACACACACACACACACAGCATCACACATCACGAAGCACGCATAGCAAGCACGAGAATGGGCGACGCGGTGCTCACGTGAAGATGCGATCGCGAATGGCCTCAGGCGGCATCCACTTGACAGGAAGCTTCATCCCCGTCGCATGATACGCTGGGGGTGGGTAGTGATTTGGGGTTGGTCGAGATGGGTCACATGACTCGCGTGAGAGGTGTGATTGAGGGTAAAACGCGAGTTGAAGGAGTGTCAGCAGGTTCACGTAGACGTATGCACAATGGATGTCAACAGGGCGTGTTGTGTCGCAACATGAGCAGCAGCAGTAGCAACAACAGCAACAATGGCAGCAGCAGAGGCAGCACGAAGAGTTAAACTCACTGTCCTCCTCCATTTCGCGAGCGAGGCCAAAGTCGGAGATTTTGAGGCTGTGATTCTTGCCAACAAGAACGTTGCGGCTGTAAAAAGCGAAGCGGCAGCAACATGTGACATTCTTTGCATGCCGTTGACAAAAACAGAGGGCAGGGGGCGAGAGAGAGAGAGACAGAGAGAGGCTGCATGGCAATAACTCGAGCACATCGCGTTGCTGGTGAGGGCTCAACGTCACCACAGACACACACAGACAAACACACACACACAGACACAGACACAGACACACACAGACACACAGACAGACACACAACGTACGCGGCAAGATCGCGGTGCACGACGTTGCGGGAGGAGAGGAACGCCATTCCGTTTGCGATTTGGAGGCAAAAGTCGACCATTTCCGGAACAGACAGGCGCTGAAGCAGTAGAGGTGGGAGAAAGAAACAAGCAGTGGCGGTCAGCACTGAACACACAGCGCACTGCAGAAAATACAAGCATGCACAGCTGCACAGTACAAGTCCGCGCACATGCGCACGACTGACGAGTGCATGTTCACAAGGCAATTACACCAGCATCAACGAGAGCATCAACAGCAGCAGCAACAACATCAACCTCCTCGTCATCATCAACGAGCAACATGCATCAATCAGCACCTGGGGTTGGTCGCGGTGCGAGCGGCAGCGCCTGAGATAATCGCGAAGGTTGCCGTGCTCGGCCAACTCGACAAGCAGCATGCGGGGCTCCGCCTCTGTACTGTGGCCAATCATGCTGGCAGTGGAAGGGTGTGTGTGTGTGGGGGGGGGGGACATGGTTGCAGATGTGAGGGAGTGAGGATGGGGGGGGGGTCGCAAGAAATGCAACACATCAGGGCGAAATAGAAATGAACTTGACACGAACACACACATACACACACGACACACACAGACACACACACATACATGTGCACGCACATACATGCACACAACGCAAGCCTCACCCGATGATGTTGGGGTGGGGCCCAATCTCCTTCATGACCGCAATCTCACGCTCAAAATCGCGTTGTTCGCGCTGCACGCAGTCGCCAGACACAACAAAACGAGATAACAGATGAGGAACAATTACATTACAACAACGCATGCTACTGTCACAACTGCAGCCACACACCCACTCTTCCAGCTCTCAGTACATCCGTCCATGACACCCCTCCCTCCATCCTTCCCAATTCGCCACCATCCGTCCAGCCCCCCCCCACACCCCATCCCACCTCGGGTGCGCCGGCTTTGAGGGTCTTCGCTGCGCACGTGCGCTCCTCGTGTGTGCCCGGATTCCTGATCCACGCCTTGAACACGTCGCCAAACGCGCCGTTGCCGAGCTTGTCGCCGAGACGAATGCGACGACGGTCAATGGCCCACATCCCGCTGCCAAGCGAGCTCATCTCAATGTCGCCCTTCTGCTCCAATGCGGCCACGATGGTGGTGGTGATGATAATGGTGGGTGAGGCTGGCGTGTGAGTTGCATGGTTCGCCTTGTGGGCTGTAATGAAGAACGAGGGCAGCAACTACAATGACAACAATGATCACAACATCAATGATCACGGCAATAGCAATGGATGGCAGCGCATCTGACGTGCACCTTCTTTGCTTTTCCACCAGCGGAGCGGCGCGTGAGGACGATGATGAGGGCGATGATGATGAGGATGAGAACACCAGCACCGGCGCCAATGCCAATGTACACCGTCGACTGCATCGTGACCGCATCAAACAGCGCAGCGTGGCAAACATGTGGCGTGGGAAGCGCGAGGAAGGGTGAGGATAAGAGTGACACGTGCGCGGGCACACATACGCACACACACCCACGCACATATGCACACATACACACATGCATATCCATTCATACACATAAACACACAATCTCCCTTGCCCGCTCTTGTGACATAATTTGCAGAGCACACGCACCGAAGCAGTCGATGACGATGCAGACTTTGCGTCTGCGATACACGCTTGAAACTCTGGGTGATACTCCGCATTGGGATCACTGCACGTCGGCTCGATGTAGCATGTCCACCGCACGCCCTCCTGCTCATGCACACATGTGTGTGAATGTAAAAGAAATGTGAGTTTTCGTGGGGATGATGCAACACCACTGGTTCACATTAGACGCCAACACAACAAGGGACATGTGCGTTGACAAAACAAGAGGCATGAATCGAGACACACACGCACTTCAGCGTCAACCCAAAGCAACACGCTCTGTGTGTGTGTGTGTGCGTGTGCGTGCGTGAGTGTGTGTGTGTGTGCGCACCAGGACGGGATTGCCGCCGTTGGGACAGACGACGTCGCCAATCAAAGTTCCGTTGGTGCTCTGATGACACACAAACACATGTGAAGGGACGCGAGGATAAGAGCAGATATGTGCGCACAAGACATACACACGTGCACGCGCATGTACATGCACACGGGAGCAGTGACACCACACGACTCGCGGGAACACAATCACACGTGTTGCAATCCCTCAAACAACAACAGAGGTCAGCCTTCGCATCGCCTCCACACCAGCAATGCATGAGCTGCATGGAGCGTACTGCATGATTTGCATGATATCGATTGCATAACGCACCACACAGCCCTCAGCAGTGATGACGCCGTCCTGACAGCTGGCGGTGGTGGTGCACTGGCCATCCACCAGCACACCCCCTCCCGTGCACACAATCTACCAGTACATGTGTGTGTGTGTGTGTGTGTGTGTGTGTGTGTGTGTGTGTGTGTGTGTGTCTCTTTGTTGGCTTGTAATAATTCACCATACTAGATTGACAGGGACCAATAATCCTGCTCATACTATTTTTTCAAATTTATTGAAATGTAGAGGAGGGGCAAGTACGGCTATGGGAGCGGTAAATGTTTAATGAGTTACAATAACAAATAGACACGGACAGAAGAAAATCTTTCTTCTTGCAAACATACCACCCTCGACTCAATTAATTAGAGAAAAATATGAGATCGTTTTGCCCCACTTTTTTTATACTAATATATTTTTCTGTATTTTTCAACACACCAAACACGCTGTAATCTCCACCTCTTTTCTCTCGATTAAACCAACAGGCCAGCAACCGATACAATATGCAGATCAAATTATAAAAGAAAGATTAAAAAAAA